ATGACCTGTGACTTAAAGACTAATGACCTGTGACTTAAAGTCTAATGATTCGTTACTTAAAGACTAATGATTCGTGACTTAAAACTAATGATTCGTTACTTAAAGACTAATGATTCGTGACTTAAAGACTAATGATTCGTGACTTAAAGACTAATGACCTGTGACTTAAAAACTAATGATTGATGACTTAAAGACTAATGACCTGTGACTTAAAGACTAATGATTCGTTACTTAAAGACTAATGATTCGTGATTTAAAGACTAATGATTCGTGACTTAAAGACTAATGACCTGTGACTTAAAGACTAATGATTCGTGACTTAAAGACTAATGATTCGTGACTTAAAGACTAATTATTCGTGACTTAAAGACTAATGATTCGTGACTTAAAGACTAATTATTCGTGACTTAAAGACTAATGATTCGTGACTTAAAGACTAATGAGTCTTGAGTTCTGTATAATATATATTGCACACTGAAACAAGAGCTCGTGTTTCTCTTCTGCGTAAACAAATATCACTGTCGTGATCTTGAACCTTGACCTAGTCCTCCAGAATTTTAATCATTTTTTATATAGGTACGATGATATATATATATATGAAATTTTAAGAAATGTTTTGGCTAGTCAGGCTCAATTAGGTTATCTACAATAGGGCTACTAATATTGACGTAACAGCAGATTCCAGTATCTACATTCCATCAATTCACATTTAACTAGCCAGTCGTCAAAAGATTTGATGGGAGCCTACAATGTTCAATTCAGGAGAGTGTCCAGAAATTTGGGTTCACCTATTTTTATGGGGCATTAACGGAATCTTTAAAGTAATTATTTACTTCTTTTTTTAAAACTCAAAGGTGCACAATGGGTCATCAGCGCTGAGTCCACCACAAGAAACTAACCCTGAATTTTAGACCCATACATCTGTTGCTGAGCCACCTGGGACGTGAAAGTAATAATCCAACTCCTAACTAATACTCATATGAGTATTTTAATTATATTAAAGGATATATTTGATATTTTCAATCTGAACGACGCCTTATGTGACACACAGATTAGAGGCTCAAGCTTGAAGCATAATCAGTGCTACATTAAGAAGTTGGAACTGTTGACCGGAGGTTGACCAACCAGTCAGTGACACCCGTCGTTAATACGGTTATTTTTAATCGAACAACGGAATTGACTATTGCAGCAATAACTCACCCTAGCTGACAGTATGGAGTGTGTTCAGCATAATATCGGGACTCAAACTTTGGACTTTCCGATACGCAGCCTGGAATGATCACCAAATATACACACACACTGATTATTAAGGTTAATGTTATCCCGTTTTGCATCCAACTGTTTTAGAAGCAGAAAAGAAATTAAAGCTAAATTCAAATTAAGATTCTTTACAAATATGTTATGTATATTTTACTTGCAAATGACTCGACCAGTCATGTAATGGCCAAAATGTTTGTGCCAGAGTGCCAAGTAAGTCCTAATAGATTATACATGCACACGTGGGTTGCATTTTATCATTTACCAAACAGTTATCAGTTCATTTCATCTAACCAACTGATACATCTCATTTTTGTTTCGGACATAGAGAGGGGGTTAAACAGCTTGGCCAGATAGTTTAAAAGTGATCGTTCCAATTTTCGACCTACAGCCAATTACCCGAGATTTCACCACCAATAAATCTCTGAAAACTGATATTCAGATGACAGAAAAATGACAAACATCTAGTGTAAGAAGCCTATCGATCACTTAATGGTAGAACTTCACGCTTGTCAGGTGTAATTATTCATGGTCTCCTTCACATTTTAACCCTCAGCCTGGGAAGCGTGCAGAAAAACAAAACAGAAAATGTTCTGCCACTGGAGATCACTTATAAACAAAGGGGGAGGGCTTTGACTGATTCCCCCCTGTAAAACAACATTATCGTGATTCAGCAGAATAGTTCCAGTTTAGGTTTTTTTTTTTTTTTTTTAGTTAGTAGACCTCATTATCTGAACACGTTTCATTAACAATTTCTGACAGATGAAAACCAAAACCAAAACACTACTTTGATAGCCAATGAAAGTGTAGTCTGTAATGATCAACAACAAAATCTGGTTGATGCTGAATTTTAAAATGTATGATAAGGGACGACTCCATCTTACTTTTCTGTCAATTATTTAAAGGCACACGATATATCTTTAAACCCTATAACACGATGTGACATTCCTCATTTTGTAAGGACACTGTATCTTGTAATAAGAAATCGTGGTATGAAATGCAAAAATAATACATTTTCATTAACGTGGAGTCACGGGGTTTAAAATTCTTAGGCCTAATACGGAGTCACGAAACTTACAGCTCTTAGGCCTAACATGGTGTCACAAGGTTTAAAATTCTTAGGCCTAATATGGAGTCACGAAACTTACAGCTCTTAGGCCTAACATGGGGTCACGAGGTTTAAAATTCTTAGGCCTAATATGGAGTCACGAAACTTAAAGCTCTTAAGCCTAACATGGGGTAACGAGGTTTAAAGCACTTATGTATATATAGTTAGTTGTACAGTGTATAACTGGTAAGATTAACAATGCACAGCGAAATAATAATACTAATAATATTACAGTTTCATATGCTTCATAGACATGCATGTTGGAAACTCGTCGATTATACGTCGTGTGAACTTTACGAAGTATTTTTTTTAAAACGTTATCAGCAAGACATAGACATTCTTAAAGCAAGTCGTAACAACTAAACAATAGTATTCAATGCAATATGTAAACGGTCCCTTGTTGGCCCTATAGTAGAGTACTGGATTTCGACGCTGGAAAGCTGGGTTCGATTCCGTGCAATACCACAAAATATTTCCCGCACTTTAATCTGTGGGTGCGTTATAACAATGTTTAGTCAGTCCCTTAGCGTGAATGATGGGTGCTGCTGACTGGCTCTAGTCATATAGGTCAAAATTAGGGATGGTGGCTGATAGCTTTAATCGTTTTGTCACACGTACACATTGAAATGTTATCAGCAGGGTATAAACATTCTAAAACATGTGGTAACACAAAAACAATGGTATTCGATGCAATATGTAAATAAACTGTAGATGAAGAAAAGTTAAAAATTTAGAGAATTCAAAGTGGATATGATTTAAACATAAGATACGTTGTAATAGAAATGTATTAAAACGCAACGTGGTAAACTCAAAACTTGTAGATAAAAAAATCTAACAATCTAGTTCAAGACGGATATGATACTTATTTAAATTTAAACTTATAGTTACATAATGCTAGAATTATAAATAAATATATATATTGTTTTTTGTTTGTAATTAAGCACAAAGCTACACAATAGGCTATCTGTACTCTGCCCATCACTAGGTGGCATATATATATTGAGGTTTAAAAAGTATGCATCCAATTCCACAATTGGCAACACAGAAATCTTGTTTCAATATTTTCGCACAAAGCTACACAAAAGTCTAGCTTTTCACGGCTGCCCTGAATTTTGAATTGATAGACACGGGGTAACTAGTCAACAGTACCCACCGCCAACGTTTTAGCTACTCTGGCTTAATAGTGAGTGAGATTTGATCATCACTTTTTTTTTGTGGTAATGGGACGCGAACGTCGAACCTTCTGATTTACCGTCCAAGCATTCTAGCAACTAGGCCACTCCCGGCATAACATAAAAAGAGATGGACGAACAATGGAGGTTTGTAGCCGTCGTATGTATTAAATTACTGGATCCTTCAAATTTGTTTTTTTTCAAGCTTTATAGGCACTCAACTGTTTGTGGGTTCAGGACTTTGTGGGTCACAGGGTCCTAGCATGTGACTCATATAAAATTTAAAAATAAAATCGCCAATTTTGCAATTAATCTCACTAGACCTGCACTACTAGGCCTCTTATAAAAGAAAATAACTTATTTCACCCATTTTGTTTGGCCAATTCCTTATACGTGTTGAACTTAACATAAAAGTAGTCGTTGTACGGTATAAAGATAAATCGGTATATATATAAGTTACTGACACTAGCCTATTGCAGTAATAGACACCAGCGTTATCAAAGTTTCGCGAAAAATCCTAGAAATAAACATCCGAAACGTTTTTAAATACCCTACTGCCCGAAGAGTTAGTTGTCTTTGACAGAGCGCTAACACACACTTACTTTGATAGTAGCAACGGCCTGTCGTTTTTCATTATAATGAAACGGTTTGATTTAGAAACGTCGAGAAGCAAATAACTTGTTTTGTTGTTGTTGTTGTCTTTTTCACGATATACTATACTGTACTGATGAAATATATGTTTTTCTTTTGAATGTTAAAAAGAAACGTATTTATAAACTAGATGGAGTACCCGTCCCCTGGACGCAAGTTATGTAAATTCATGATGAATGAAAGGTTATCTTAGGACATGAAAAGTTGCTTCCCTTATATGTAATTGTGAAAAACGCCCATAAAAACTGCAAAACATAAAATGTGTGAAACCGCAAATTTCTATGCATCTCCGCACGGGCCCAACAAATTTCCATGCTAATTTTGGTGAAGATTCGTCAACAGGGGGCGAAGCAGTGGTAGAAAATGCAAAAACGCCATAAAATTCGCAAAATGGAAAAACTGAAAATTTGTATGTACCCCCGCATGGACCTAATGAACCTCCATACCATTTTCGGTGAAGATCCATCAGCAGGGGGAGGGGGGGGGAAGTAATGGTAAAAAACACGCATAAAAACCTCAAAGTGCAAAACTGAAAATTTGTATGTACCCCCATACGGACCTAATGAACCTCCATACCAGTTTCGGTGAAGATCCATCCACACCCTGCGAAGTAGTTACGTGGACATACAACAGATAGTACTATTATATTTATACAGATATTGACGCTTCGGAGCTTTGAGACAAACATAATGAGACTAAAAATAATGATAATTTCCACCTCTTTTACTGCTGCTTTTTAAATTTAAGATTCTTAGTCTAGGGCAAACTGAGGGCAAATTGAATTTAAAAACAACGCACACACACACACTTACCTTCCTGCCTTAGTCACAATCATTTCAGTCTGTAGCTGGTTGAATTCTTCCCAAAGGGACTTCATTTGTAATTCACAGTCGACGTTCACCAGTTTTGGATGTATAAGCTTGTTTGGATTACGTGAAGCCTCAGCGTCAAAACGAACGGGAGATCGCGTACGCCTCTCGGGTTCTTTATTGTTCCGAACGCCGTACGTGTCAACCGTGGATACACCGTAGGTCTCGGCCAGACTCGGTCTTTCGATACTGGTGCTTAGAAGGAACGCTGCGTGGAAATAATTATATAATCAAACACTCGTTTTGTTTTCAAGTTATTTTATGATAAAAGAAAAACTATTTAAAAAAAAAATTTTGATAATAATTATCGAAAAAAAAATCCAGATAATTAAAATACAAATTTTCGCTTTTGCGGCTTCTTCTGGGCTAGTATGTAAAACTGTTTGATATTAGAACATTCGCTAAATTATAAAATTGTTTGTACGTTCTATTTCTCGAGTATAGAATACTACTGTTGTTTCACTATTGTTATAATGTTATAGTACGGTTATGACTCTGACTATATAGTTATACTAACATATGATACGTATTACTTATATAAATGTGCCCGGCATTGCCAGGTGGTTAGAGGGCGCTCGACTCGCAATCTGTGGGTCGCGGGTTCGAATCCCCGTCACACCAAACATGCTCGCCCCTTTTAGCCTTTTTTTACGTTCAATCCCACTATTCGTTGGTAAAAGAGTAGCCCAAGAGTTGGCGGTGGATGGTGATGACTAGCTGCCTTCCCTCTAGTCTTACACTGCTAAACTAGGGACGGCTAGCGCAGATAGTCCTCGTGTAGCTTTGCGGGAAATTCAAAAACAAACAAACAAACTTATATAAAAAATAAAGACGATTACAAAACAGAAACAAATAGACATGACCATGAACATTGTGTCTGTCATTGAAATACTAGAAATTTAAAAGTTTTGTGGTATAGTTTTCAGTCCCTAAAACACAGTTATTCCTATTCATGTGTAGAGGGCATAAAACTGTTCAGTATTATGCAGAGGGACATTTTGTTAATTATCTTAAGAATGTGTTCATTATTGCTCTGTTTTCAAACTACGTACAGCGTAAAATAGCATAGGTTAATTGTTTTTAATTACACACAAAGCTACACAAGGGCCATCTGTGCTCTGCCCACCACGGGTATCGAAACCCGGTTTCTAGCGTTGTAAGTCCGCAGACATACCGCTGAGCCACTGGGGGGTAGCATAGGTTAAAACAACTCAACTTACGAACAAAGGTTTGGTGATTTAATGGTTACAAGTTCAAGTTTGGTTTGTTCTGAATTTCGCGCAAAACTTCACGAGGCTTATTTGCGTTAGCCGTTTCTCATTTAGCAGTCAAAGAATAGAGGGAAGACAGCTAGTCATCACCACCCACCGCCAACTCTTGGGCTACTCTTTTATCAACGAATAGTGGGAATGACCATCACGTTATAACGCCCCCACACCTGAAACGGACGAGCATGTTTGGTGGAACAGGGATTCGAACCAGCGACCCTCACCATCTGGCCACAAGTTCTAGTTAAAAACAACACTGTCATTGTCTGTCAGAACAGAATACAAACCTTGAAATAAAAGTCTAAAGATAGGGCTTGTGAGTGGATTGTAATTTTTTTATTTAACTTTATTTTTACGACGTTCCGACCACTTGTGTGCCTATCATCAGGTATCTGTCTCTATTTTGTGAAATATTGCGCGAGAATTTTGTTCCAATTTAGAAAACATTTATGGCTGACATCTGTGTTTTGATGTAAATTAGGTTTAAGTTCACGAATAATTAATTATTCTTTTATTTTTCTTCTTCTTCTTCTATTAACGTTGGAATAAAATTATCGCGCAAAACAGAGACAATTACCTGATGGTTGCCACACTAGTGGTCGAAACGTCGTAAGCCGTATCACAAGCCGTATCTTTGGACTTTTATTTGAAATGTACAGTGTATTTCCTCTCCCACAACAGAAATCTGTTGGTGTATATTCTTTGTGTTGAACTTTAAGCAATCTACAGACACTTAATAATGTCAGTAATCTAAAGCAGTTCACAGCTTAAATCAAGAGTCAAGCTCTGCATTAAAAAACAACAATAGTTTGGATATTACCTTGGACGCGTCAAGAGTCAAGCTCTGCATTAAAAAACAACAACAGTAGCTTGAATATTACCTTCGACGCGTTAAGAGTCAAGCTCTTCATTAAAAAACAACAACAATAGTTTGAATATAACTTGGACGCGTCAAGAGTCAAGCTCTTCATTAAAAAACAACAACAGTAACTTGAATATTACCTTGGACGCGTTAAGAGTCAAGCCCTTCATTAAAAAACAACAACAATAGTTTGAATATTACCTTGGACGCGTTAAGAGTCAAGCTCTTCATTAAAAAACAACAACAATAGTTTGAATATAATTTGGACGCGTTAAGAGTCAAGCTCTTCATTAAAAAACAACAACAGTAGTTTGAATATTACCTTGGACGCGTACTCCTACTGCTGAACGGTTCAAACCAAAACTCTTCGTTAAAACAAAGTATTTAAACAAAGGGAATTTTGAGTCCAAAATTCCACGTCGTGTGTATAAAACTTACATGTTCATTACAACAATCAACTATGTCATAATACACACAAGTCCGTGACTGGACTCGAACAGGGCGGGATACTGCTAATCAATACGTATGCGGAACACGTTTTATGTAACATTTTGTGAAGTTATAAAGATATGTTAACGCTGTAAGAACGTAATGGTTCGTGTTCATGTCTCAGAGATGATTGTATTTACCAGAGATGGTAAAATGTGGTGAGAATTTGTTTGTTCTGATTGTAAAGTTGCTCAATTACCCACCAGGACTCAGCTTATTGCAGGGATCGAACCCCGAACGTTCTAATTCCTCAAATTTCCAGTACAACTACCTGGGGGGGGGGGGTACTGAAAGACGTGATACTGTACACAATTTAAAAAGTGGAGAAAAAAACCCCCACAAAACTTCAAAAGCTTTATAATTATTAATAAAAAAAATGTCTTAGAGTCTTTAACATTCCAAGGCTTCAGAAGCACGCATTGTTTTGATAAATTTCTTTAATATATTATTTGTATAAGAGGTGGGAGACGAGAGATAAGCTTTTGATCAAATCATTGTTACGTTGAAAACTCTTACCAGAAAACATTATCCAAACATGACTGTAATTAAAAATATCACTAATAATTGTTGATCAAATCATTGTTACGTTGAAAACTCTTACCAGAAACATTATCCAAACATGACTGTAATTAAAAATATCACTAATAATTGTTGATCAAATCATTGTTACGTTGAAAACTCTTACCAGAAACATTATCCAAACATGACTGTAATTAGAAATCTCGCTAGTAATTGTATTGTTTGCTTTTTAACTAACGAACAACATGAAATATTGAAACAGCTATTTGTGGGCTATTAGGTTTATTTCTGTACAACGTTTCGTCTCTAACAGTAAGACATGATCACGTACCTCATCTTGTATCCCTGTTATAGACGAAACGTTGTAGAGAAATAAATCTCTCATCACACAAATCGCTGTCTCAAAACTTCATACCAATAAGTTTGCTACGATTATTACATCCGCGTTTGATCAGCTCACCCAGTGTAACAATACGTGGACAGATTTTTAAACCATGATACACTCGTGAAGTCAGTAACAGTTCCAACAACATAGTGAAAAAAGAAGAACAGAAATCTCTATCATATATACACAATCATTAAACGGTTGATCCGCTGTATCATATCGAAAAACGAATTCGACGAAATATAATAACATTATTCACAAACTTAATTTAGGTTACTGTATGGTAGAGTAAAACGAACTCAAACCCCATAGTTAGAGTATGTACGTATTCTAAAACTTATTGTTATTATCGATACATTGTTGTAAAGAAGGTATAGACAGAGTATGTACGTATTCTAAAACTTATTGTTATTATCGATACATTGTTGTAAAGTATGTATAGATAGAGTATGTACGTATTCTAAAACTTATTGTTATTATCGATACATTGTTGTAAAGTATGTATAGAGTATGTACGTATTTTAAAACTTATTGTTATTATCGATACATTGTTGTAAAGTATGTATAGAGTATGTACGTATTCTAAAACTTATTGTTATTATCGATACATTGTTGTAAAGTATGTATAGAGTATGTACGTATTCTAAAACTTATTGTTATTATCGATACATTGTTAG